AAAGAAAGAAGGAAGGAAGGAAGGAAGGCCAGGCATTGGTGGCACGTGCCTTTTTTAATCCCAGCACTTGGGGGAGAGGCAGAGGCAGGCAGATCTCTGTGAGTTTGAAGCCAGCCTGGTCTACAGAGCAAGTTCCAGGATAGGCTCCAAAGCCACAGAGAAACCCTGTCTCAAAAAACCAAAAAAGGAAGAAAGAAAAGAAGAAAGAAAGAAAGAAAGAAAGGAAAAAAGAAAGGAAAAAAGAAAGGAAGGAAGAAACCAGGCTGCTCTCCTCCATGGCCTCTGCATCAGCTACTGCTTCCGGGTTCTTGACCTGTTTGAGTTCTTGCCCTGGCTTCCTTCAATGGCGCACTACAATGAGAAGTGTAAGCTAAATTAGCCCTTTCCTCCCCATCTTGCTCTTTGTCATGGTGTTTCATCACAGCAATAGTAACCCTAAGACAATGGCTTAGTGGTTAAAGGCACTTGTCACCAAACCTGACAACCTGAGTTCAATTCCACATGGTGTAAATTGAGAACAGATTCTCAGATTGTCCTCTGACTTCCACATGTACAAACAGGACTACATACATTTTACATATGTGCACATGTGCACTCACACATATATACAAATCAATAAATGCAACACAAATAAAATGCAATAAAAATAAATTGGGGCTGGAGAGCTGGATCAAGGGTTAAGATCACTGACTGCTCTTTTATAGGTCTGGAGATCAATTCCCAGCAAACACATGGAGGTTACGACTACTTATAATGGGATCTGATGCCTTCTTCTGGTGTGCAGGGATAGCACTCCTATACATAAAATACGTAAGTAAATAAATCTTTTTAAAAAAGAAAAGGAAGGAGCTGGAGAAATGGCTCAGTGGTTAAGAACACTGGCTGCTCTTCCAGATGATTCCAGTTCAATTCCCAGCACCCACATGGCAGCTCACAACTGTTTATAACTCCAGTTCCAGGAGATCTGACACCCACACAGACATGCATGAAAGCAAAACACCAATGCACATAAAAACAATCATTTATATAAAAAAGGAAAGGAAAAGAAAACAAACTTTGGAGGCTGGAGAGATGATTCAGTGGTTAAATGTACTAGCTGCTCTTTTAGAGGACCGGGGTTTAATTCCCAGCATCCACATGGCAGCTCACAAACATATGTAATGCCAGACCCAGAGGATATGAACCTCTTCTGGCAGGGCAGAGGTGCCACATGGCTGTAATCTCAGCAGTCTGAGGCAGAGGCAGCTGGATCTCTGTAAATTCAAGGCCAGTTTGGTCTACAGAGCAAGTTCCAGAACAGCCAGGGCTACACAGAGAAACCCTGTCTCAAGAAACCAACAAAACAAAACCCTCTTCTGGCCTGTTTGGGCATTGCACACATGTACATATTCAATACAAGCAGGCAAAATACCCATGCACAAAAAAAAAAAAAAAAAAATACTAATTTTAGAAAAGCTTTTTTGAAAAAAAATTTCAAGACAGAGTTTCTCTGTGTAGCTTCGGCTGTCCTGGAACTCGCTCTGTAGCCTAGCCTGGTCTTGAACTCACAGAGCTCCGACTGCCTCTACCTCCCGAGTGCTGGGATTAAAGGTGTGTGCCTCCAAAACCCCAAAGAAACCCTGTCTAGAACCCCCACACACAAAAAAGCAAAGAATGGGCATTTCACGAGTTCTTGTCTGCAAAGGATTCAGATTTGCCCCCCAGGACTGAGATGGTGGGGGGACTCTGGGCACCTGAGGTGGAGGTCGGTTCCTGATCTCAGCTGACAGGAGAGGAATGACTATGGTATTTTTATAAAGTGTGGCAGGAGGGGCAGTCTCATCTTTTGGTTGCAAGATCACAAGGCCCAGGTGAGGAAGGGAGCCAATGAGAGTTGAGCTCAGACAGGGAGGACTCAGAAGCCACTCTGCCTTCCCACCTGCAGGCATAGCTGGCAGCAGGGCTCTCTTAATGGGGTATGGGGGTCTTGAATAGATCCAGGAGGCCTCTTCCTCACTCTCAAGGATGACCTTGAACTTGTAACCCTTCTGCCCACCCCCAATCTGTGTTGGGATATCAGGGCCCATCGCAATCACCAGACCTCCTGCTGTTATTGAGATAGAGTCTTGCTATGTATCCCAGGCTGGCCTCCAACCCATAGCCCTCCTTCTGCGTCAGTCTCCAGAGTGCTGGCATTATAGATCTGTACCACATGCCTGACCTTGCTCTTTAAAAATAATTTTGTAAACCAGGCAATGGTGGTGTATGCCTTTAATTCAAGCACTCGGGAGGCAGAGGCAAGCAAATCTCTGTGAGTTCAGGCCAGCCTCCTCTACAAAGCTACACAGAGTTACCCTGTCTTGAAAAACAAAAATAATGATTTTGTGATTACATTTTTATTTATTTTGGACATGGGGAGACAGTGTACATATGTCATAGCATGTGTGTGGAGTGGAGGTCAGAGGATAACTTCTGGGATTTGGTTCTCTTCTTACACCACGTGGAATCTAAGGGGTGAATTCAGGCCACCTGTCAGGCATGGCAGCAAGCTGCCACCAGCACACACACACTGAGCCTTCTGTTTCTGTCTGTGTGAGAGGCTGCCTCTCACACACTACACTCTCCACTTAGCTCCCCCTAAGTCCATACCTGGGGTTCCAGATTCATCAAGCAAACCCATCCCGTTTCAGGGAAAGAACACAGATAGGAGACTTCCCAAGGCCCCTGTTCACTCAGATGAACAGCTAATGTCTGCTATGGCCCCCTATTCCACACAGGATCACCTCCCTGCCGACCTGTGCGTGCTCTTCCTTGGTCACTGGGCTTCTGCCTTCCTGGGATCTCCCACAAACACACAAAGGCAAGTTCCCCGTTGTAACTCCTGGCTTCTTTTCCTTCATATCTGCTTATCTGTAGACTTGGACTTGCATGAAAGCAACCCAAAGAGGGCAAAGGCAGAATGACCAGGGTTCTGCATGGAATCTTACCTGGGAAGGAGATCTGCACTGGCTGGCTGAGGTCCGACAGCTGGGGCTGGCTGTGCTCACCTATCACACCATACTGACAGCGGAAGATCCCCCCAGCAGCCTCACTGCCACCACTAGTCACATTGAATGTTACTCCAGGCTGATCTGAGGGGGCCTGCAGGAGCTGGGCCACCTCTCTCCCTCGGAACAGGGTGAAATTGGCCCCTAGGAAGTCCTCTGGGGCTGTGCACGAGATGAAGATGGGATCATCTTGGCTGTTTGGGTAGGGGGGCACCAGAAAGATGGATGGGGCAGGAATGGCCAAGGAGCCTGCAATGAAGAAGGACAGTTTGAGCTGGCTGTGTTCATGGGACCAGATTACCTATTATATCGTATCCTTGTGCTTGTGTGTCTGTGCCTGAGTGTGTGTGTGTGTGTGTGTGTGTGTGTGTGTGTGTGTGCTGGGGATCAAACCATCCTAACCTTCTGTTGAACATTACCTCCAGGCCCTGAGCCTTAATGTTTGTAGCAAGACACTGGTGACTCCTAAATACTAACCACTGTTTAGGAGATTGGGTACCCAGCACCTGTGAGTGTCATTGTTTTTTGGGATTTGGGGGGGGGGGGGGTTTGTTTGGTTGGTTGGTTGGGTGGTTGGTTTGGTTTTTCCAGACTTGGTTTGGTTTTTCCAGATGGGGTTTCTCTGTGTAGCTTTGGAGCCTGTCCTGGAAGTCACTTTGTAGATCAGGTTGGCCTCAAACTCACAGAGTTCTGCCTGCCTCTTTGTTGCAAGTGCTGGGGTTAAAGGTGTGTACCACCACTACACAGCTGGTTTTTTTTTTTTTTGTATGTTTGTTTGTTTGTTTTTAAGATTTATTTATTATGTGTACAGTGTTCTGTCTGTATGTATGTCTGCATGCCAGAAGAGGGCACCAGATCTCATTACAGATAGTTGTGAGCCACCGTGGGGTTGCTAGGAATTGAACTCTGGTTCCTTGGAAGAGCAGCCAGTGCTCTTAACCTCTGAACTGTCTCTCTAGTTCCTGAATATCATCGTTTAAATCATTTTATTGACAGTGGCAGTGATTATTATATAACAATACAACGATGCTTAGTGAACAAACTATGCATGAGACCCTGCTGGGGTTGCTAGGGACAAGACGGTGTACTAGAGACATGAACAGAAGCTGGGACTAAAGACAGGGCCCAGTGGTTAGAAGCGGCTGGGTGTCATTCCCAGCACCAGTACTGCAGCTCACATCTCAGTTTGCAACTAAGGGCCAAAGGGATTTGACGCCCTCTAGTGGCCTCCACAGGTACACATAATGCCCAAACAAACAAGGAGGCAAATCACCCATACACAGAAAATAAGGGCAGAAAGGAAATAAACAGAAGTGCTGACCTCAGGGAAGTGTAAGGGCAGTGCTGGGTAATGAGAAGAATACTTGTGAACCGAGGTGACCTCAGAGGACTTCCCAGCAGAGGTGACATATAATCTGAGCCTTGCTAGTGGAGGACTGTTGTGAAGATTGAGGAAGAACCTTCCATCCTGAGGAAATGCTATGGGAAGAAGGCCAGAAGGTGGACAGGACACACAGATGAGCGGGGACGGGTGGCCCCGTGGTGGAGCCCCTGCCTAGAATCACCCAGGGAGGGGCTGGGGGTCTGGCTCAGTGCTTCTGCCAAGCATGTGTGAGGCCACAAGACCAGAAAAGAAAAAGAAAAGACAGGAGGTGAGTTTGTGTTGGCTGGTGAAGGATGAGTAGAGTCAGACAGGACAGCTGGAGTGGGTCTTCTGTGGGAAGTGGCCGCGGATGGGACGGGACCAGTCTCTTCGCTAGCTGTCACAACTTCCCGACCAGAAAGGCAGAGGCAATCCATGTTGTCTTTTTAAAATGTATTTTCTGTGTGTGCGTGATTTGCCTGCATGCATGTCTGGGCAATGTGGGTGCCTGGTCCTTGTGAAGGCCAGAAAAGGGTACCAAATCCCTTTGGACCTGAGTTACAGAAAGTTGTATTTGCCATGTGGGTGCTGGGAATTGAACCCAGGTTTTTTTTTTTTTTTTTTTTTTTGAAAAGCAGCTAGTGCTCTTCCCAGCCCCTTGTTTTGTCTTTTTTTTTTTTAATTAAATTTTTTATTCACTTTGTGTTTGTGTGTGCTGTGGTATGTGTGTGTAAATCACAGGACAACCTGCAGGAGTTGATTCCTTCCACTGTATGAATGTCAGGGATAAAACTCAGGTCATCAGGCCTGGCAGCAAGTGCCTTTACCCCCTGAGCCATCTCACCAGCCCCTCTTTCAACAAAGAAATAAACAAACACAGAGCCACATACATCCCAGGCAGGCACTCCACCTGTGTTATCTGCTCAGGCTTTTGAGCAGAATGCCTGCAGACAAACTCCACAGGAACTTCTGAACTAACCTCTCCTGGTATCACAAGTCCCCAAGTCCCTTACTCTGAGTGCCACAGTCCTGGAGGCCAAGCAGGCTGAGTCATGGAAAGTGGCATTGCTGGTGGGATGATATTTCTATAAAACTTGGCTCGAAGGGGACGAGAAAGCTCAGATGAAAAGGCTGACTGTCAGGCAGTTTCCCAGGCTCTAGGCTGACTCTGTGGGGATCCGACTCCTCTAACAACTGGAGAGGGAAGCCCCACTGTGCTTTCTGCTCCACATGGCAGCTTGGTGGACAGGGAGGAGGGGCAGCTAGGTGCTTCCCCCAAGGGCAAGCTTTAGACTCACCAGATGCAAACAGCAGAATGGTCCAGGGCATCTCTCTTCCCATGTAGGGCTGGGAAAGCTGGCTGAGGTCACACGGATCTGAGGCTCCCTGCCAGCCCTGAGACCACAGTGGAGAAAGGAGAAGCGAGTGTTGGTTTGAACTCTTTCCTCAGTGGCAGGAAGTTGCACACACGCTTGGGCACCAAAAGAGACTCCCTTGTCCCCACCCCTTCCCCAAACACACAACCAGTCACCCCGCCACTACTCAGCAGCTCTACACTGCAGGGAAAAAATGTTTCCTTCCTTTAATCCCGAGTGTCAGTGGGCTACAAGGGAAACTTCCACCCAAGACATGCAAAACCAAATGATGTGCCATCTAGGGGTCAAAGCTCAACCTGCGTGTTCTCAGGCAAAATCTGAGTACTGTGGTGTCTGTTAGCTGCTCTAGAGAGGGGGTGGGGGAGTGGATATTAATTAGATCAAGGAACTCAAGACAGCAAATGCAATGTTTTAATCAAGGGGCCTGGCTCCATGCCTAAGAATGCTTGCCTAGAATTCCCCAGTGAGGGGCTGAGGCAAGGCTCTATGGGAGAGTGCTGGCCTAGCTCTCAGGAGCCCCATGCCTAGTAGTTTGCAGTTAGATAAAGGCCTCAAGGCTTCCCCAGCTATTTGAAGGAACAACAGATAGAAAAAAATACAAAACTTGGCTGTGTAAATTCCTGAACAGTCCATACACTTCTATGTCGAAACATTTTATTTAGTTTCCAAATTCAATCCTAAAATGTGCCTGAAAGTCTAGAGGGCAGCTTTTAATCACTATAGTGTTTTAAAGGACAATGTCCCCACAGGCTATGGCATTTGAACATCGCAGTTGGGAGGTTCAGGCGGCATGGCCTTGATGGAGGATGTTTGCTACTGATGATAGGCTCTAAGAGTTCAGATGCCTGCATTCCCAGTTTGCTCTTGACTTCCTGTTTGTGGTTCTAGCTGCCACATGAGCTGCCTACACTCCACCATCATGGAACCATAAGCACAAATAAACCCTTCCTTCTGTGAGTTGTCTTGGTAGTTTCATCACAGCAGCAGAAAAGTGACTAAGACAGTCACCAAGGAAAAAGAAACTCATCCTGAGCTGGAGACAGCTCTGTGGTTAAGAATACCAGCTGCCCCTCCAAAGCTCCCTGGTGTGGGTCCTAGCACCCACATGACTGCTCATAACCAGCTACAATTCCAGTTTCCTGGGGATCCAATGCCCTTTTCTGGATTCTTGGGCACTACACACAGGCTGTACATGCAGGCAAACACTGAAAAGGAGGCTCCTTCCAGGCTACATGCTTACCAAGGCAAGAGAGACCCTGTCTCTTTTTTTAAATTTAATTTTATTTCTTTTTGCCAGGCATTGGTGGCTCATGCCTTTAGTCCCAGCACTTGGGAGGCAAGTGGATCTCTGTGAGTTCAAGGCCAGCCTGGTCTACAGAGCGAGTTGCAGTACAACCTGAACTACATGAGTCTCTCTCTGTCTCTCTCTCTCTCTCTCTCTCTCTCTCTCTCTCCTCTCTCTCCCTCTCTCTCTCTCTCTCTCTCATCTGCCTGCCTCTGCCTCAGAAATGCTGGTATTAAAGGCGTGTGTCGCCACCACTAGCTGTGAGACCCTCTTTTTTTTATTTTACATGCATTGGTGTTCTGCTTGCATACATATCTGTGTAAGAATGTTGAGTCTCCTGGAACTGGAGTTCTAGACAGCAAGGAGCTGCCATGTGGTTGCTGGGAATTGAACGAGGGTCCTCTGGAAGAGCAGTTAGTGCTCTTAACCACTGAGCCATCTCTCCAGCCCCATGAGACCCTCTTTAAAAAAAACAAAAACAAAAACAAACAAGGCCAGTGGTGGTGGCTGATGCAAATGTTTTTAATCCCAGCTCTCAAGAGACAAAGGCAGGAAGATCCCAGAGTTTAGGACAGCTAGGGCTACACAGAAACCCTGTCTTCAAGAAACAAAACAAAAAACAAAAAGAAAGAAAAATTAATATTTTCACTTGTTTGCTTTTGGAGACAGAGTTTCTCTGTGTAGTTTTGGAGCCTATCCTGGCACTCACTCTATAGACCAGGCTGATCTCAAATTCACAGAGACCCCCCTGCCTCTGCCTCCCGAGTGCTGGGATTAAAGGCGTGCACCATCACCACCTAGCCTAGTTTTTTTTTTTTTTTTAATTAATTTTAAAAGGTTGTTATGATGGCCAGGCGGTGGTGAGTTCTGGGACAGGCTCCAAAGCTACAGAAAAACCCTGTCTTGAAAAACAAACAAACAAAATACTGTCAGCCTGGGCAGCTTGTGGTGGTGCATACCTCCAACCCCAGCATTAAGGAAACAGAAGTAGAGGGATCTCTGTGAGTTCCAGGTCAGGCAGTGCTATACAGTGAGCTCCTGTCTCAAAAAATTAGATGTACATATATGTATATGAAGATGGTCAGTTTGGGCTGGAGAGCTGGCTTAGTGGGTAGAGTCAATATATGCCAGTCTAACAGCCTGAGTTTCATCCCTGGACACCACAAGGTGGCAGAAAAGGACCAACTCCAAGAACTCTCACACCACGTGTGAGCTGCGGTGTACTGTAACACAAACCAAAATATCATCAACCTGATAGGGTGTGGAATCACCTAGAAGAAAACAGTGCACATCTGTGAGGAAGTTTCTAGCTTGTGTAACCTCAGGTAAACTGTGTGCAGCACTAACTCAAGGCAGGAAAAGGGGAGCTGAGTACCAGGTTTCTCTTTTTCTTTTTGACTGTGACTATGACCCTCAGGCCCATGCCACCAATCTTGTCTGCTGGGACGCTGGACTGTAAGCCACAAAAGAAAACTTCCTCCTTAAACCTCTCCTGCTAGGAATTTGACTACAGCAACAAGAAAAGCAAGGGAGCCAGGTGGTGGCAGCACACCCATTTAATTCCAGCACTGAGCAGGCGGATCCTGCTCAGACCAGCCTGACCTACAGAGTGAGTTCCAGGACAACCAGAGCTACCCAGAGAAACCCTGCCTTAAACAAACAAACAAATAAACAAAAAAAGGAAAAGAAAAAAAAGAAAAGCAAGGATCACAATAAAGAGCATTTGAACATCAATCCAAGTCTGAAATGTACAAAAGATGTGAAGAGACATTTCTCGAGCCAGGACAGCCTCCAAAGCTACACAGAGAAACCCTGTCTCAAAAAAAAAAAAAAAAAAAAAGGGCTGGAGGGATTGTGCTGAGGTTAAGAGCTCTGACTGCTCTTCCAGAGGTCCTGAGTTCAATTCCCAGCAACCACATGGTGGCTCACAACCATCTGTAATGAGATCTGGTGACCTCTTCTAGTGTGCAGATATACATGGAAGCAGAATGTTGTATACATAATAAATAAATAAATAAAATCTTTAGAAGAAAGAAAGAAAGAAAGAGGCATTTTTCTACAGTAGTACAGTAAAAAGGAGAAAGAGGGGGCATGCACCGCCTTGTTACCATGCACTTGGAAAGCAGAGGCAGGAGGCCTCTCGAGGATGTTTTGTGAGGCTGCAAAAGTGAAGCCTGAATTGTGTGTTGCCGAGGAGCCATGCAGACAGGGCATGGAACCAGCCCAAGACAGAGGTGTTACCTTGCAGGCATCAGACTTGGGATGGCAGGGCTGTCTAAGCCCTCTGACATCAGACATGCCTGTAGAATTTGGAGTTTTCCTTGCTGGGCATAGGTCTTGCTTTGGTTCTGTATTTCTTCACTATGCTCATTTTCTTCCCTTTTGGAATGGTAATATATATTCTGTGCCAGTATATGTTGGAAATATGTAATTTGATTTTTTAAATCTTTTTTTGTTTGTTTGTTTTTTGTTTTTCTTTTGAGACAGGGTTTCTCTGTGGCTTTGGAGGCTGTCCTGGAACTTGCTCTTGTAGATCAGGGTGGTCTGGAACTCACAGAGAACTGCCTCTGCCTCCTGAGTGCTGGGATTAAAGGAGTGCACCACCACCGCCCAATTTTGATTTTTTATTTTACAGGGGATTACAGTTAAGGTGAAAGGTTCAGGCATTATGCTGGCCTGCCCCTGTTACCTGGTGGAATCCACTCAGGCAATACCCTGGTCAGCCCAAGGTTCCATGGGAAAGAAGTCTGCACGCAGGTGCAGAGACCCCTTTAAAAGATAGGCCCCTGCACCTTTACGCTCTCTCTCTCCCTCTCTCCCTCCCCCCCCATCTCTCTCTCTCTCTCTCTCTCTCTCTCTCTCTCTCTCTCTCTCTCTGTGCCCTCCCGTCTCTGTTTCCCAGCCTGACCGGCCATGGCGGTCAGCCATTTACCCTGTTCCTCTTCTTAGTCTCCCCATTCTACCGGCCCTTATAATAAATTTATAGTCAATATGTCTGTCTCAGCAATTTCTCTTTTCTTCTTTTTAAACAAAACAATAACATAAGGAACCCCTGACTCTGGGCTGCAGAGATGGCTCAGAAGTTAACAGCACTGGTTCCTCTTCCAGAGGTCCTGAGTTCAATTCTCAGCAACCACATGGTGGCTCACAACCAACTATAATGAGATCTGGTGTCCTCTTCAGGCAGGCAGACATACATGCAGAACACTGTATACATAATAAATGAATCTTTAAAGAAAAATGAAAGAGAAAATAGAGTTCCTTGAATCAAAGAAGAGATTTGGAGTTTGAACTTCTAAACACTCTTTTTTGTTTGTTTGTTTTGTTTTTTTGAGACAGGGTTTCTCTGTGTAGTCCTGGGACTCACTCTGTGGATCAGGCTGGCCTTTGATGGGAGATGTCCTTTTGTATGCTGTGAATATGTTTCTCTTATTGGTTGATGAATAAAGCTGTTTTGGCCAATGGATAGATAGGATTTGGCCAGGCTGGAAATCCAAATGGATAGAGAAAGATAGACAGAGTCAAGGAGATACCACGTACCCATAGAGGAAGTAAGAGACCTTGTAAGCCAAGACCACTTGGAGATACAAAGATCAATAGAAATGGGCTAATAATTAAGAGAGAGTTAGCCAATAAGAAGCCTAAGCCATCAGCCAAACAGTTTATAATTAATATAAGCCTCTGTGTGTTTATTAGGGACTAAATGGCTGCAGGACTAGGCAAACTTCCGGCAATAGGCCTTGGACTCAGTGATCCGCCTACCTGTCTCCCAAGTGCTGGGGTTATGTTTGAGTGCTAC